GGGAGCATAGCCGGCTGGGAGACAGACCCTCTCTGCACCCCCTTTCCTCATCTGCAAACACGGTTGTGTGAGGATGAAGTCGTGCATACATGGCCAGAGCTTGAACCGTGCTGTGAACCCGGAAGCAATGTGTTGCATTGGCTGCGATTCTGATGATCTTTGGAAAGCTCTGGCTGTGAGGCTGTCCTGCCTTATTCCGTCTGAATCGTATTATTAGCTAACATTAATTGAGCACTTGCCTATGCCAGCACATCTCCTGAGGGAAAAGACGCAGGCTCAGGGCGGTGATTTGTCTTCCTCAAGGTCGCATAGTGAGGGAGTGCTCATCCGAGCTCTAGCCACCGTGTTACACTGCCTACCGGGGACCCGGCTCCCGCACGGAGCAAGGCCCCTGCGTCTCCAGGCTTCTGGTCCATCTGTGCAACAGCGGGCTGGACAGGGAGGCAGGAGGGTCCCTCCCGTGATCACTCTCCATGCTACTTCTGTCCTCGAATGACCCAGGGACTATATGGCAGCCCACTTCCATGACCTCCCACAGTCCTTGTGGAGGGGGAAGCGGGCCTCGGAGAAGGGATGCTACCTGCCCAGTGTCACTCTACAGGCCAGTAGCAGAGGCACGTTCGAGCCCAAGGCGAGCCAATTCCAAAGCCCGTGTCCCTTCTCTCAAGGCCTCCTCAGCAGAGCTCACGGCTCCTACTCATGCAGTCAACCATGCCCTAACCGTAACAGTGACACGGGAATGCAGGGAAAGCACGTGGCGGGGGGGGGGGGGCAGTCGGGGAGCCCGTTCTCCCCCACCGCTTGGCTGCGTGTGGCTTGCAGTAAGTGCCGTGTGCCTCTCTGAGCCTCGGTCTCCCAGTCTGCGAGACGAGGCTCGAGGTCCCTGTCCAGCGAGGCCACTGTGAGGATGAACACAGACAGGGGAGAGCAGGAACAGGGAGGTCAGAGGTTGTGTGGCTCGTGGTGGGAGGGCTTCCTCAGGTCCTCTTCCGAACGCTACTCTCTGTACACCCTCAGCATGGCCCCTCTGCCCCTCCCTCCTGCCATCCCCTACAAGAAGACTGGGGGAGGAAGCCAGGAAGTTGGGCTCTGGGTCACCCTTCCACAGGGCTCCCGTTTCCTATAGACAAAGTGATGGTGGTGACCGCCAGCACTGAGCCAGGCTCCGAGCAGGCCCTTGGCGAAGGACAGCCTTCCCTCTCCTCTGCCCCCACCAGCTGCTGTGGCCCGGGGCTGGGCCTCCGTGGGCTGTCTGCACGGCAAGTGGGTGGGGCCAGTCGTCCGGGGGACCCTGAGCTCTGACCGTGCACACACCAATTCGTAAAGCACTTCTCGGCGGCCTGCTCTGTTTTATTTTTAAGAGTTCATTTTGTGCTTGAAAAATTGGAGCTGCAGAAAGGCCGACGTGCATCCTCCAGCCAAGGAGCACCTCAAGGGCAGGACGTGGAAGCTGTTCATCCCTCCCGGCCTCAGCTCACGCAGCCAGCCAGCCACATGTACTGCCACAGAGCCCTTGCCTGGCCCTGCCCCCACGGTCCAGGGACCGAGGAGGCTGCCTTTCCCCTCTGGGTTCCCTATCTCATCTGGACACTGGGGTGCTGATACGTGCCTCTCCCAGGACTGCTAGTAAGGGTGTGAGCCACAGAGGGGCCGACAGGTCCAGGTGGATTACAGGACATGATGTTCCTCCACACGTTCTCATTCCAAACCTTCACCAACAGGTCTGGTTAGAGGAAAAGGGCGCTAGTTTTGTGGTCAGGTGGACGTGGGTCCATTCCCTGGCTTTCCCATTGCCTGACTTGCACTCTTCACTTCTCTGAGTCTCTACCTCCTTTTTTAAATGGTGATGATGATGGGTAACCTATATAGAGTACCTACTCTGAAAATTAATAAAGGAAAACTTCGGTAAAATGGAAGGGAGGAGGCCAGAAGGGAGAGCTCTCACATCACACCACTGGATGTCAATTAAAGGAAGATCTGCCCATTAGATCCCAAGGGAAGAATCCCCAACAGCAAAGAATCCTCAGCTACGGGTCCCAAAAGGAAAAGCACATCACGTCTCCTACCAGAAGCTGACGCCAGCAACTGAGCCAACAAGAAATCAGCGCCCTGAACTCTTGCTTTTCTCCCACTGGGCTCTCCTTCCAAACAACCCCTCCCAACTTCCTCCCCTTCTCCACGTAATAATGCTCCCTCTGTTGGATCGATCCATGGTTTTTGCCATAGCTTGCTTGTCTGAAGTTGTAATTTTCTGCCGTTCCCAAATAAGCTCGTTTTTGTTGGTAAAGTAACAGACTTCTTTTTAAGATCAACTCCATGCTGGACACTGCTTTAAGCACCTTACAAACTCATTTCATCCTCATGACAACCCTATGAGGTAGGTATTATCACCCCCATTTTACAGACACATAAACACAGAGAGGAAAAGCCACCCAGCTAGCAAGGGGAGGAGGCGGGACTCCAAGCCAGGCTGGTGAAGGATTTGAGCTCCTGCACTAGTATCCTGCAGCCTCTGAGGCGTCCGGATGACTCAGGTGGTTGAGCAGCCCACTTCAGCTCAGGTCATGATCTCACTGTTTGTGAGTTCGAGCCCTGCATTGGGCTCTGTGCAGAATCTGCTTTCCTCTCTCTCTCTCTTCCCCTCCCCAACTTGTGCTCTCTTGCTCTCAAAATAAATAAATTAATTTAAAAAACATACCCTGCAGCTTCAAAAACAATCACAGGACACTATCACTCACAGGGAAGGGCACTGAACCTCCCCATGCTGGCCCTGGGCTCAGAGCAGGATGTCCCCAGCCAGTGTTGGCTGAGCTAAATGAAACTGACTCAAGATCAGGCCGCCTGGAGGAGGTCCTGGCCTAAAACACTAAGCATTTGGCTGAGGAGCCAGAGAGGGTCCTAGAAGTCTCCACATCTGCCTAGGAGTCCTGCTGGGCTGGGGAGGGCCCTGTGCCAGTCCCCACCTTTGTTTATGCCCAAGGCAGTGGGCTGGTGCATTCATTTCTGCCTCTGCCTCCACCAGGGCTGTAGCCTTGGGTATCCCCGCGGGTGGCTTAGTCACAGCTGGGCGCTGCTGTTTCAACCTTGTCTGAGTGCCCCGCAACCAGCCCCAAAGGGGAACAGAGCTGTTACTCAGGCAGATGAAACCCCTCCTCCCCAGGCCTCAGCCAGCCCACCAGCCAGGCAAGGCACTAGGGTCTACGGGAAGAGCAGAGACGGGGGCTCTGGGAGGCTGAGTCCAAGGCCCCACCTTCAGGCCCAGGGAGAGCAGGGCTCCCGTGTGGGCTTGGGTTCCAAGGCCAGCCCTCTCCCCTGGGCACCAGGGTGGGAGGGGCTGCTCAGCCTCCCGTGTCCAGACCCCCAGGAGGCTCTGATGGAGTCTCTTGCAGAAATCTCACACCCACCAGGCATCAGGGCTGCTCCCCGTGGGCTCCCACCGGACGGTGCTTTCCCAAGCCTGCCTGCTCCCCAGGTCCTCTCGATAGCACATGTCTGACCCCAGACTTCCCCCAGCCTGTCCCCTCCTCACCCTGGGCTGCAGAACCCCTATCCCGGTCATCAAGGCTGCTTGGCTAGACCCTCAGCACTTCACAAGGCACGTTCCCTTGGGTTTTCATAACTTGGGGCACCATTTACAAACAGCAGATGACTCAGGTCTTAAGAACAGATCCTGGGGGCGGGGTGCCTGGGGGGCTCAGTCGGTTAAGCATACAACTTCAGCTGAGGGCATGATCTTTCGGGTTCGTGAGTTTGAGCCCCGTGTCGGGCTCTGTGCTAACAGCTCAGAGCCTGGAGCTGCTTCCGACTCTGTGTCTCCCTTTCTCCCTGCCCCTCCCCTTGCCCCTCCCCCTGTTCCCACTGTTTCTCTTTCAAAAATAAACATTAAAAAAAACAGATCCTGAACACTTCACCTCAGTTGTCCTTGATTCTTACCCTGACCTACAGGAGAATCATCATCATCATGACTAACATTTACTGGATGCGAAGAAAACACCACATTACATCCTAAGTGCATTCCCTGTACTAAGTACTTATTCCTGGAACCAGCTTTAGGTAAGTACCCTCAAACGCCCCATCCTACAGATGAGGAAACAGCTTATCAATGTGGGAGCTGAGGCCTTGGTTCAAATCCTGTTCCTCTACTTACTAGCTGTGAGCTTCAAGTGAGTAACCGATCCTCTTTATGCCTCATGTCTGCGTCTGAAAAACTGGGATAAAAAGGTTCTCACCTCAGGGTGCTACGTTCAACAGGTAATCCCTGCAGAATGCCTGGAAATGGCCTGGCCCTTGTCAGCCTCCATCGCCCTCCTTACACCCAGCACAGGGCTTAACTGGACCCTTGCCCCCCACCCCCTGATATCTTCATGTGATGTCCTTGTCCTGGGGATTAACACTTGGGGAACACCCACGCTGGGGATGCCCTGGTCACTCTCCCCAGGCTGAGGACAGGCTCTGTCCTCCACCAGGCTGCACCCCTGTGCCCCAGCCCAGCTGCATGCATGCTCCAAACATAGCCCAGGGCTGGAAGACCCGCTCCCCATTCCCCACTATACCTGCTGCCATGCCAGGGCCCCAGCTGCCTCCTGCCCTGTGCAGAGCCACCATTACAGCCCAGCCCGGCTTGCCTTCTCCTCCCCACACTTTCCCAGACCCTGGACCCTCCTCTGTCTGGAGAGCAACAACCCTCCCCCACTCACTCCTTCACCCCTGCCAACTTTGAGGCATCTGGGAAGACATACTTTGGAATCTGGCAGAGCCGGGTTCAAACCTGGCGATGCTACATGTGTGGCCTGGGGCAAATTCCTTGTCGAGTCTCAGTGGCCTCATCTGTAAAATGGGTACAATGACCTACTTCACTGGGCTCTGAGAATGGAAGACAATGCTAGCATGTATTGGGCAGCTACCCATCAGGCCTCCTGCGATGCGAATTTTAAATCTTTGTCTCCTTTAAGCCTTAGGAGGTAAGGAGGCTCCCTCTCAAGAACACACAGCAGCCAGTCTACCAGAAAGAGCCTTTATGGTTCTCTACAGACAAGCTCAACGGTGATAAAGCGGGCCCACTGCCTGCCCCCCATGTTGCAGGCCCCAGGCAGAAATGACGGGGTGTTAAGTACCTTGAGTCAGACGCAGAGAAACCAACGGCAAGGGCGGGGGCGCGGGTGAGGGGGTCCAAGTGCATGGTTAGTGCCTCGAGGTCTAGTCCAGGAGGTCAGCCTTTTTGACAGTTCATGATTCTGAAACCCTTCCGTTCCCCAGCAGAGGGAGCACCAACGGAGGGAGAGGGAGACCGTGGGGGAATGCAGGAGCACCCCCAGATGGTAATGAACAAAAGGCCCCCAGGTGGGGTTGGTCGGGGACGGGGTGCCTCCGCTGGCCCACTTTTCCTCCCCACCCACCCCCAAACACACCTGCAATCACTGTCTAAGAAGACACTCAGGTCATGAAGGGTGGACGCTCCCCCCACCCAGCTTTCCGGGAGGCCCTGAGTGTCCCCTTCAGATTAGAGCTGAGAACAAAGTCAGGGGCTGGGGATTTTCAAAGACCAGAAGCCAGGGCCCACTTGGGACTTTGGACTCCAAGCACAGTCAGGGCCTGGGCACTCTGGGTGAGGCCAGAGGAGGCTATAGCCCCACCCAGGGCCCCACCCCAGGTCCTGCTGTACAACCCAGGGGCCAGGATCCAGACATCAGCCCTCCGTCCGACAACTCCAGTATGGCCGCCGGCACCTCCATCCCCACTTGGGGCCTCGGGTCCTGTAGGACCTGGCTTGGCCACCTGTCCCCACCTCCAGTGTCCCCTTCTGGCCCTCACCCTTCTCTGCCCCCTCCCCACCGGGTTTGGCAGTCCCCTCAAGCCTCCAGGGCTAAGGCCCACCCCTGACAGGCAGGACCACAACTAAAGCACGGATCTGGAGCTCCTCAGGCCTTCCCTCTCCTTATCAGCACCAAGGAGCCCTGGGAAAGCAGGTGCAGCCCTTGCTTTATTGAAGGGGAACACCCGAGGGGAAAACCCACTGGCACCTCCGTCCCCGCCTCCCTCACATCCAGCACGCCCAGGACCAGGGCTCCTGCCTGCTGCCTGGGAATCCAGGGCTCCCCTGCAGAGGCCTCCATGAAGCACCCAGCTTTCAGGCCCACCCACACGGTCACGGGCGCCCACAGACCCCCATGCCCTGCCAGAGGCGAGCCTGAAAGGGTAGAGCAAGTCACATGCCTAACGCCCCCAAGGCCTCACCCTTGTTTTCCCTTCCCGGGAAGCTGCCCACCTCTGCAGGGCCCGGTCAGCCCCGGGGCCCCACATAAGGTCCTCTGGGCCCTGCCTTCCAGCCCCATCCGCAGAGGGGCCTGGAGCCCCTCTGACACCCAGCGGGGAGGACGGAGGAGCTGCCCCTAAGGCCAGCCCCATCGGGGACAGGCTCCTGCCCCTCGGCGCCTCCTGGCTGCCCCCACCGCCCCATGGTTAGAAGAGGAGAAGCGCTGAGGGGCGGGCGGGGCCGAGGCAGGCAGGGGACAGCGCAGAGGAGCAGAAGGGTGGCGTGGTCAGGGCACCTCTGGCGGCAGCAGAGGCGTGTCTGAGTTCTGTGCTGAGACGCTGGGGGACTCGGACCCAATGAGCCCCAGGCTGTACAGATTAAGGATGGAGTCGGCAATGATGCGGGCCGTGCGCTTCTGGTATCCGCCCGAGGTCACCATGAGGATGGGCACCTGGCGGCCACGGACCACCCGAAACACCAGTTCGTCCCGCTTCACGATGCCCTGTGGGGGAAGGGGGAGGCGAAGGGGAAGTCGCCCACCTTCCCTGCTGTGGCGGGGTCCCCACAGCAGACCCCACACCCCACCCCCCAGGTCGGGACGCACCTGGGGGCTGATGGACAGCCCCCCAAGGCGGTCGCCCTCAAGGATGTCGGTGCCTGCGTTGTACACGACCACATCGGGTGGGTGCTCCTGGAGGGCTTTCTGCAGGTTCCTCTCCACCTTGTCCAGGTACTCGTCATCCTCCGTGCCCCACTCCAGCTCCACCTTCCGCCTGATGGCCTCTGACGGATAGACAGCAGAAGCTCCGTGTGCAAAGAAAGGCCAACAGGCTCAGGGGGCCAAGTCAGGGCCCCGGCAGGATCAGAAACAGTCTGACTCCAGCACTGGCCCCGCTTCCACCCAAAATGAAATTAAAGAGCGCCAAGAACTGCAAAGGGCAGGGGTGGGGTGGGGGAGGGGCCCAAGGGAGAGAAGGCGTGCAGAAGAAACACTTTGCCCTGGGGATTTACAGACCCCTGTCGGTGACATCTTGAGCCTCTGCCAGAAACATGGATGCCCGCTGTGCTCTCAGGCCCAAATCCAGCACCTTCGTCAGAAACCAGGCAGCTGGGCCACACCTGGGGCTGAATTACCCTGAGCAGATGCATTGGCGTAAAGGTCTCCTTCCTGCACACGTGTCCCCTATTTGCAAAGCGGGCAGGACCCTGTGTCTTCCAAGTTGATCTGAGCGTCTCAGATGCCTTTTGGCTGGGAAGTTTAACTCACCTGCATTTATTTTAATAACTGTTACATTTGACCTGGTTGGTGCCATCTTATTTTGTATTTTCTACTTCCCATAGTTTTCCTCTCATTTCTTTTCTGTCATTCCCTATTTTCTACAGGGAAATGAAGACAAATGCATACCCAGGAGGGGTCTGTTTTTGTTCTTCTGGTGGTTACTCTGATATAAGGACCCACACATGTGTTTGTCGGACAGGTTTATGGGCTCTTGGGTGGGTCAAGTGACTTCTTTAGGTCTCAGTTTGCTCATCTATAAATGGGAACAATCTCCCACCTCACAGGGATGCTGAGGACAAATGAAGTGACTTCTGCAGAAGCAAGCATGTACGAAATACTCAGGAGAGAGCTCCTTCTGAGCACAACTGCACTTAAGACTAAGGGATTGGGGGGGCAGCTTACGCTTGGCAAAGCGGTCCCCGGGGTAGATGTGGCGGTTGTAGACGTCCATGATGTACACACGTTTGTCACCCATGAAGTCCCGTTCATGCCCATTGCCCTGTGGACAGGACACGAAAGCTGCTCGTATACAGGTGCCCTCAGCAAGGCCAGGACACCCACACTGCTCTCCCCCCCCCCCCCCCCCCCCCCCCAGGAAATGTCCCACCAGCCTGGGAAGCTCAGCTTGTCCCTGGAGGCAGAGGGTTTCATGGTTCTTAAGTAGCAGAGCTGGAATTCAACCTCAAAACTGGCGCCATGACCTTCTAGCATGACCTTGAGTGGGGCCCCGGCCCTCTGAGTTTCCTCTCCATGGAACGAGAAACGAGTTTTAACCCTGCCACCCTCTGCAGTCTGTGGTGGGATCAGCTGGGATCAGGGACGTGAAAGGCAACCTGTAAAGGGCTGTGCAGGCGTGACTGCGTTCTGGAGCTCAGCATCACAGGACCCTACAATGGGGCACCCACCGGCACAAAGGCACAAGAGCAGGGGTGTGGGAGGGGTCTTCAAGGGCCCAGGTGAGGCCCTGCCCTCTCTGACTAGGGGAACCCGGAGGAAGAAGTCCCACACTCTGCTGCTCACCCCCAGGCAGGGAGTTCTTAAGTGGTGAACCCTGACCCCGAGCAACCCTGAAATCATGTGTGAGCATGTGTCTGGGGCGCAGGTCGACAGTAGTCCTCAACTCTGTGCTGGAGGTGGCACCCCAGACTGACTATGAAGGGGGCTAGGACATGTGTCTTGGCTTCAGGACATGAGGGTGGCATTGCCGCCCTGGGCTCTAGAAAGAGCCATCAGCCAGGTGTGTTGGCTGGTGTCAACCTTTTGGTATGCTGGTATGATGTCAAACCGTTTGGTTTGACAGAAGGAATAGGAGGACCCCGTGCCCTGGCTGGGCTGAGGGGCGCAGAGGGACAACCACAGACCCTCCACGTTCAGCCTGAGGCACAGAGGATGGGCAGGGAGGGGAGACGCAGATCAGGGTGGGGGCAGCAGTGGCCCAGCTTGGGGCTTGGCAATGCTCCCAGGGCAAAGGGAGTCCCCAGTAAGGGGCTGGGTGACAGCTGCTGGGGCCCTGGGGTGGTGGGGCCATGAGGCTGCAGCCCCCACAGGGGACTCACCTGATGAGCATCGAGATCAACGATGGTGGCTCTGGTGATGCCCTCCACTCGCTCAAACAGAAACTGCCAGGAGAGGAGAGGGGAGGTGAAGACCCAGGCAGGTTGGAGGACATAGCCCCTTGGGGATTCCCAGTTGGTGAGGGGTCGGGTGGGAGGCCGGATAGGCTTGTGAGGCACTGGGCAAAGACCTCACACACTCAGAACTGTGTGGCTCAAGAGAAGCGAGCATGCATGGTCAGGGAAGGCTCCCTGGAGGAGGCAGCATGTGCTGTGCCTTGAGGGGCTGGAGGTCAGAAGTTGGGGTGGCTGGGCTAGCTCTTAAGAGACAGCCTGGGATTCCTAGGGGAATATACAGGGGTTGAGAAGGGGAAACCTCTCCCCAAGGCCTTTGCATTCTCCCACAAGGCCAAGTTCTCATGCCTCCTCCTCTGGGAGGCCCTCCCTCCCCTCCCCATCCCCCAGGAAGGTCTCCTGTGCATCACTGTCTCTGAATGGCCAGGGTCTGCTGACCTGCTTGCCCCCACCATTCGTCTGTGTGTCCCGGGAGAACAGGGGCCATGCCAGCCCATTCCCGGTGCCCAGGACAAGGCCAGGCACAGGGTGTTTAGGGGAGCCCTACAATCCAGCAGAGGTGTCTGCCGAGGCCAGCTCTGCCCCTTACCTCCCCGGGCCTGGGTGTCCTCATTGTACACGTGACAATTAAATGAGGGGTATCTGGGTGGCTCAGCCGATTAAATGTCCGACTCTTGATCTCATGGTTTATGGGATCGAGCACAAAGCCTGCTTGGGCTTCTCTCTCTCTCCTCTCTCTGCCCCTCCCCCTCTCTCTCAAAAAAAAAAAAAAAAAGGCACAGCAAGTGTCAGCTTGGGGTTGGAGTCCCAGCCTGGGTGGGCAACCTGCCAGCTCCCTCCCCTCCTGAGACTCAGCTCTCTCCTCTGTAATGTGGAGGAGAACACCAAGTTGGGGTAGTGGGGGGATTCGAGGGAGGGCTCCTGGAGGTGAGCCCCCACGCATTCTCGGGCGCACCTTGATGGCCAGTGTGATGTCCGCATAGGCACAGAAGCCCCCGCCCCGGTCGCTGGAGCAATGGTGAAAGCCTCCACCTGCAGAAGGGCAGACACCGTGTGGTCAGGCCCAGGCGCTGCCCCGCCCCTACATCCTCCCCGCACCCCACTCCCACTTAGCACCCAGGACGGGCTTCTGGGACTCCCCTGCGTGCGTTGCCATCCCCAGGTCAGGAGGTAGCTTTGCCATCACGGCCATCCCTGCCCAGAGCAAGAAACCTCGCAGGGTGTCCCAAAAGGTGAGTCTCCAGTGCCGTCACAACCCCCAAGGGGTAGGAGCTCATCTTTCCCCAAACTATCTGTTGCCTCTGCAGGGCCAGGCCTGCCACCATTTGACTTTTCCCAGGCCAGGGAGGGGTGGTGGGGCTCTGGGGGACCCATTTACCCTGGGACCACCCAGACTCCACAGGGGGGTAGAAAGGGATGGCCAGGAAGGGCACCTTCTGCCGGTCTTGGCCACCCATGGCCATGGGGAGGGCGCTCAACACCAGGGTCCAGCCTCAACCTCCCCACAACCCTGAGAGCCCATTGCCCTGCAACCTGAAGGGGCCTCTGAAATGGAGCCCAACAACTGCCCCACCCAGCAGTTCAAATCCAGGGCCCACGGCTGCAAAGGACTTGCCTATTCTAATGCCAAGAGGCTGCCAACGGATCTCACCAATGAGATAATAGCCACTAATGGACTCCTAACTACGCAGAGAGCTCCTTGAAACCTCCCTATAGCCCTGAGCTGGGGCATGATTACCATCACCTCCATTTTACAGATGAAGAAACTGAGGCATACAGGAAATCAGCAACCTCCCTGGGATCACAGAGCTCACTAACCAAGATTCAAACCCAGGCTGGACCAAGGGTCATAACATTTTCCATGGGGGAAGGGCATCCTGGGGCTCTTGTGGGGACCCTGCTGTGGACACACACAGGGCATGCCTCTTTCATTCATCCATTCAGCAGCAGATCATAACCTCACAGTGACATCAGTCCCGATGTTGGGTACCTGGCAATACCCAGGTGGGAGAGACCCAGCCCTGGCCTGTGGAGCTCACAGCCAAAGACGGGGTTCTCTGAGCAGGCCCCCAGGCCTCTCTCCACACCACTTCTTCATCGACATGATGGGGCTGGCAGTGATAATGCCCAGCTCAAATGAGAAGTCTGACAATAAAGAAGTTTGCTAACTGTGATGTGCTGCACCTCAATGAGGGACAGATAAGGAAGGAACAAGGAAGAACGTGTGTGCATCCTTCCCACGAGCCAGTCTTGGGGGACAGTCCAGGGGACTGCTGAGTGCCGGCCCTCAGGCCCCTGAGAAGGACCTGGCATTGACCCTGGGCCCATCTTCCCATTATATGAGCCCTGTGGGCTGTAGTGGACCCTGGGACGCTGATGGAGTTTTTCAGGAAAGACGCTGAAATTCTGCAGATGTCAGCCTCACGCAGGGCTGCCCAGGGGATGACACAGGCTTGCGCAGAGGGAGTGAGCCCCTTGTCATTGGAAATATGCAAAGGCAGGGTTGGGGAGCCATCTGGGGAACTCTTCTAGATGAGACTCCCACACCAGATGAAGGCACTGGTTGGTCCCTCCCAGGCACTAGATGGCTGCATACCCTCCTCCAGGCCACGTAAGAGGAGGTTCAGGGTGGCTCTGGGGATACCAGAGCATCTGCACTCACAGTGGTTGCCTTCAGCTTCCTCCTGGCCCACCCAGCCCAAGGACCCAGCAGGCCAGGCCGGCCAGGGCACTCACCCACATTGATGGCCCAGCCTCGCTCCATGGCCAGCTTTCCTGCCTTTGGAGACAAGCACAGGGTGAGAAGCATAGGCAACCAATTCTCTTCCTCCTTCCCTCCCTCATTCATTCATTCCACAAACACAATTTCCAGAGAGCTCTGATGTAGGATGATCTATGAGGTAGGGTTCAGGAGACCCCACCCCTACCTCCAGCAAACTCAGACTCAGTCTTGGAAGTACCAGATTGGCTGGTATATGAGATGTGCAGTGTATAAGCCCCTTTGCAATTCTGCAAGGAAACTAGAAGAAATCAAAGTTAAGTAGTTCTGATCGCACGTGAGCTGACAAAGGATTTTAATGATGCTTTCAGGGGGAAACCAGACAATTTTTTGCCTACAGAAACAGGGTAGGCTGAATACCCAAATCCTGTAGGAAATCATGGTTTAGGGGTAGGCAGTTATAGTCTAAAAAACAAACAAAAAGTGCAAATTTCCAAAGCTAAAAAGAAAACTATAGGGATCAATAGGTCTTGATCTGGCTCTGGATAAGATCATCGTATACCCGGGGGCACCTGGGTGGCTGAGTCGGTTAAGCGTGTGACTCCTGATTTCAGCTCAGGTCATGATCTCGCAGTTTGTGAGTTTGAGCCCCAAGCTGGGCTCTGCACTGACAGCATGGAGCCTGATGGGATTCTCTCTCTCTCTGCCCCTCCCCCTGCTCATGCTCACGTGCTCTCTCTCTCTCTCTCTCTCTCTCTCTCTCAAAATAAATATTTATAAAATATTCTTTAAAAAAGATTATCCTACATCTAAATCTGAAATGTTCCTCTACCTCCAATTAACTTAGCAATCTGTGGCTAATTTTAAAAACAGCTGCATATGGGATGAAAAACCTACTTTTGCTGTAAGTATGCTTTACTGTCACACCCATGATGGGCAATGAGGGGAGCGTCATCCATCACTGAAGTCATGGAGGCTTTTCCATCTTGAATTGAGAATACTCGACTCATAAGTTGAGGATACACTCTCCCGAATAGGGATCTATCTCATATACCAGCAAATACAGTCACTCTAATAGGAGGTCAAGGGGGAAGGAATTCTAATGACCCCATGTGGGAAAGGCTTTGGGAGAAAGTCACTGTACTGTGCTTGAGGCATATCTAGGATTTTGTTCAACTATAAAGCGGGAGGAGGGTGCTTCCAGGTGGAGAGCCCAGAGTGAGCAAAGGCCCGGAGGTGTGCGGGTCCCAGCCCAGCCCTTCCTCCCGCCTGCGTCCCAGCCTACCATGATGGTTCCTCCAGTCTGGGTCCGAAGGGGCTTCAGCACCTTCCTCTGCACAAGGAAGTTGGGAAGGAAGATGACTGGGGGGATCTCTGTGATGGTTGCAACAGCAAAGGACCACTGTGGAAAGAGACGCAGGCCATGGTGCCCAGAGCTCAGAGACAGCCGCTGGGAAATCGGATTGCCCTGGGAGACCTGCCAGTCAAGGGCAATTCCTGTGGTAAGAAGTGAGAGCCCCTGACCCAGCTGTGGGCTCAGTAAAGAGCTGCTCCTTTCCTTAAAGCGGTTGGCCCACATTCCTCCAAAGCCCTCGACTGCCCTCTTGTGCCCAGAACAAGAACTGCAGAGCACTCTGGGTCCCAGAGGCTGCAGGCCCAGCACCCTGCCAGCCCACCCACTGTACAGAAGGGGGGGACACAGAGGCCCTGAGCTGGGAAGATCTTTCTGTCCAAGGTCACACAGTGACTCCCTGGTAAAGCCAGGACTGGAAGCTCAGGTCTGCCCCCCCCGCCCCCCCCCCGGCACAGCCTGACCTCTTCATCCACTAGGACTTGGGCCTCCGTTCAAAAGGCATAAAGGGCCTTCATTTCCGGCTACTGAGGCAGGAGGGCCTAGGGTACCCCAAAGGGCATCTGCACCAAGATTAGGACGCAGCTTACCCTACGACCCTCCCCAGACCCCTGGGCAAACATCTGTGGACCCAGATCCTGAACCATCTCCTGCCTGGCTGGAAATGTATGGGCATGCATTCTCCCTGCTGTCCTCGGACCCTAGGCAGAGCCTCAGAGGCTCCAGGGTGGGGGCTACCCCTGTCCTTCTGACACAATGCACAGCCCAGCAGGGAGGCACTTATATGCAAGCTGACGACACCTTTGGATGGAGAAAATGGTCTGGGTCCAGCTGGGAACAGAGCAGCTTTCTGGAGGCAGTGACCTCAAAGCTGAGACTGAAGGTGAACAGGAGATGCCCAGGTGTCAGGGTCAAGGTGAAAAGACAGCTCCTGGCAAAGGGAAGTGAGTCCGTGCTCACTAGAAGCTGGGTACCTCTGGGCTGCCAGAGAATGTTCTCTCTCAGGCAGCCTCGTCAGAGCAGCAGGGAGCCATCAGATGGTGCTTGCCCAAGCTGTTCTGGCTGCAGCAGGAGGACCAATTAGGAGAACTCGAATTGAAGCAGCAGCCCCAGGGAGGAAGCGAGAAATAATGAGGGTCTGGGGGAGGTGAGACGGGGACAGTTAGCAGACGGCCTGTGGGGGAGGGGCAGACAGAGGAGTCCAGGATGCAAGGCTGGAACCCCAAGACTCCAATCCTGAAGGCAAAGGCCAGGAGGGCAGGCCCCTGGGACACTCGAGGGCAGTCCTGGGACAGGCTGGGGGTGGGGCAGAGGTCTGGCCCTCAGGAAGCCAGGCAGAGAGAAGTTTCAGGAAGGAGTAAGCAAAGGGAGGTGCTGAGAAGGGGGAGCACAGCCACTGGGTTCTCCCAGCAGGAGAGGAGATTTAGGGGAGGAGAGGCCTGAGCATGTTCAATAAAGGGGAGGGATTAGCAGAGAAGCCAAGGATGCACCAAGGATGAGGTTGGATAGCAGAAAGGGCATATGCCTGGGAAGGTTCTGGCAGGCACCAGCCAGGGGGCACTACTGGAAGCCAGGACAGGACCCACGTCAACCTCCGTCGGGTCCAGGTGTGCTGAGCTGCACAGAACCCCTCCCAGGCCACCAGGTCTGAGGACGGTTGAAGGCTGGGGGAAGCCTTCACTCAAGTGAAGGAGCTGGTGAATGTGGCTCACGGATCGCAGACCACTTGCGGTCTGAAAAGAGAGGAGCCCTCCAGCCTTCCTCAAGCCCCAGCCTTCTGGCTGTGCCACGGAGGCCTCCCAGGGCCTGAGAGATGGCTGGAAAGCTCCAAGACCTGTGTGCTCGCATGTGCATGCGTGTGCTTGCGTGTGCGTGCGCGTGCGTGGGGGGGGGGAGAGAACCAGCAAGGGGGAGGTGATCAGCTCTGACTGTTCACCACACCAATAGGCTCCATGCTCAACATGGGGCTTGAACTCATGACCCTGAGATTCACAGTTGCCTGCTCTACAGCCCGGCCAGCCAGGAGCCCCAGAACCACAGTTTTCTATGAATAAACAGCCAAAAAAAAAACCTGAGCCACTGAAGGAACACATTAGGTAACTGCCTCCCTGTCTCCCTCAGCAAACTAGGAGTGGGTAAGGATTGAAAGAAAATGAAGCCTTATCCCAGCCTCCTGACGGGTCTGGTATAGACACAGAACCACGAGGGGGCCTGCTTTAAAGTATGTCCTGCAGCAACTGCCTAGCACAGCGCACTATCAGGAAAGGGGTCCACATCTAATAAGTCTGGGACACACTTCCTATGGTGTCCACGCCCTGGCAGGTTAGAGCCTCTACATTTTGCCGTGAAGAATCCTGGGTAACTTGGTTTCACCCCATTGTCGGCCTGCTCTACTTTTTATGTAACACATACTGACCTTTGAAAAGCTGTAGTCACGTGGGACCCACTTGGGAACCTCTCAAGCTGGAGAATGAATTTTACATGGGCTGGGTATATAGTCACCAGAAGCACATCTGGGATTTAGCCAAGGGGACCATTTCCCTTGGGAGAAGGGGGGATGTCTGCTAATGTTTCTCCACTTCCGGCAGTGAGAGATGAGCTAGACTTGTGCCATCCCAACCAGTGGCCACCAGCCACACGTGGCTACTTGTGTATACTTTTAAAATAAAAATTGTTTCATTAGAATTCTGTTCCTGCAATCAGAAAATAGCATTTTGCTCCTCAGTCTCACTTACCACAAAACTCCAGTAATTAAAGCAATACATCAGTGGCATAGGACAGACATATGCATCAACTGAATAGAACAGGGAGTCCAGAAGTAAATCCATACATCTATGGCCAACTAATTTTCTACAAGGATACCAAGACCAGTCAACGGGAAAGTGTAGGGCCTTTAAGAAACGGTGCTGAGGAGGGGCGCCTGGGTGGCTCAGTCGGTTGAGAATCTGACTTCGGCTCAGGTCATGATCTCATGATTCGTGGGTTTGAGCCCCGCATCGGGCTCTGTGCTGACAGCTAGCTCAGAGCCTGGAGCCTACTTCAGATTCTGTGTCTCCCTCTCTCTCTGACCCTCCCCTGCTCACACTGTCTCCCTCTCTCTCAGAAATAAATTTAAAAAATTTAAAATAAGAAAAAAAAAGAAATGGTGCTGGGGAAACTGGAGAGACACACGCAACAGATTGAAGTTGGGCCCTTCCTCATACCATACACAAGAATTAAAGTCCAAACAGACCAAAGACCTAAACACAAGCTAAAACTCTTAGAAGAAAACATAGGCGTCAATCTTAATGACCTTGGATTTAGCAATGGATTCTTAGATGTGACACCAAACGCACAAGCAGCAAAAGATGAAGAAGCTAGGTTGAGCTTTAGAGAAACTTACCACTTGAATGCACCCTAGGACACTATCAGGAGAGCGAAAATACAATCTACAGAAGGGGAGAAGATATTATTTGCACATCATATAATATCCAGAACTGCAAAGAACTCTTAAAACTCCACTGCAGGGGCACCTGAGGCTCAGTCAGTTAAGCGTCCGACTTCGGCTCAAGTCAGGATCTCATCGTTCATGGGTTCAAGTCCTGCGTCAAGCTCTGTGCTGACAGCTCAGAGCCTGGAGCTGCTTCAGATTCTGTCTCCCCCTCTCTCTGACCCTCCCCTGCTCACACGGTCTCTCTCTCTCTCTCTCTCTCTCTCAGAAATAAATAAAGCATTAAAAAAAATTAAAACTACACTGCAAAGTTTTTAAATGGGTCAGTGACTGGAGCAGACCCTTCTCTGAAGCGACGATGTAAATGGGCAATGAGCAGGTGAAAACACGCTCAGCACTACTGACTGATGGGGACGCACATTACGACCACAATGTGATACCACTTCATACCCACGAATGTAGCCGCAACCAAAAAAGAACAAAAAACAAAAACAGAAAATAACAAGTGTGGGTGAGAATGTGGGCAAATTTGTGCACAGTTGTTAGGAATGTAAAATGTCCAGTTGCTGTGGGGATCGTTATGGGGGCTCCTCAACCTCCCTATGACCAGCGATTCCACTCCTAGTTAAGAACCAAAATAACCGAACACAGGGACGCCACATAAACTTGTATGTGCATGCCCACAGCATCTCTACGTACAAAGGCTAAAAGTAACCCCAACGCCCATCAGCTGAGAAATGGATAAACAAAATGGGGTCCAGCCACACAATGGAATATTATTCAGCCACAACAGGGTGATGCCTGAAAACTCCACGCTTGTGCTTGCTGAAAGCAGCCTCACACCACAGGTCACATGTTGCAGGACTCCGTGCCTGTGAGACATCCAGAAAAGGCAAGTCCAGAGAGCTAGAACACAGGCCGTGGTCCCCAGGGACTGGGGGGGAAGGGAGCAACAGCTTACTGGGTACCAGTTTCCTCTGGGAATGATGACAATATCTCGGAACTAAACAGCTAAATGCCACTGATGTTTACACTTTAGAAAGTTGCTGGTTATGGCATCTGAATTTTACCATTATTAACAAAGGAAGGAGATAAGAGGCCCCTCAGGCAAGAAGAGATAAGAGAGAGAAAAATTGGAGGCCCAGGAAGGAGTGCCCATTTCCCCAGAGACTCTCTGAGCCTTCAGCCCCCTGGTGTTGTGGTGTGAGGGTCTGTCTCCCTCCCGGACAGGACTCGGAGTGCAGGCAGGTCGGTGACTAGGCCCAAGAGGTGCCCGGACTTCCTGAGGCTTGGCGTCCCTAGCTTCTCTTTCTCCTGCATGCCACAAGCCCAGTCTGAACAACAGAAAATTCTAGTGTTTCCACTTCATGGCAAACTCCAACTCCTACCACTCCTCCCAGATCCACAGCGGCTGCTTCCGGCCTCGTCTGAGAGCCCAGGATCTCTCACCAGATTATTGCAACAACCTCCTTCCTCACTGATCTTCCTGCTTCTGTCCTGACAGCCTCTTCTCATCACAGCTGTCAAGCAATCCTGTCAAACCCTAGATCAGATCATGTCCCTCGGCTTAATACATTCCTTGGCTCTCATCTCCCTCAGAGCAAACCACGGTGGCACAAAAGGCCCCTGTGTGGTCTGGTCCCTGATCATTTTCTGACACCATCCCTAGCCGGTCTCCCTCCCATTTTCTCTGATCCAGTGGCAATACTGGAACATGCTGCAGATACTCCTGCCTCAGGCCCTTTGCACTTGCCAATCCTTATACTTAGAATGCACTCCCTCCAGATGCCCACATAGCTCACTCCCTCACTGCCCTCCATCCATGATCACACATCGGTAAGTCCCTCCTTCACCTCCTTATTTCAAAGTGCAGACCCTACCACCCCCTTTCCTGCTCTACTTTCACCCATGGCACTGACTGCCTTCTAACACACCATACCATTGACTTGATGATCATGTCTATTGGCTGACTCCCTGACCTAAATGCCAGCCGCGTAAGGAGAGGGGCTCCATCTCTTCTGTTCTGTCCTGTCTCCCCTGGGACAGAGCACAGTGCTCATTAAATATTTGCCAGTTAAAAAGAAAAAGTAAAAAAAAAAATCAAAACAATTGCTGGATAAAGGTATCCTGAGCACTGCCTGGCTCAGGGTACACAAGGACAAGATGTCAGATCTGCATCACACTACCCCACACCCCAGGCCAACTGTCACTGGGGTTAGCAGAAGACAGGAGCCTGGCCCTGGCCCAACCTGACCACCACCCCCAGTGGGGCAAACTCTGGGCCTTTCACACAGCAGGTGCTCAATAAACACTTCTTTCCCTGAATGGCCATCACCTGGCAAACATGAGGGTACTTAGCCCCCTTCAATGCTGGGATGATTAAGCATCGAAGGCCACACCAGGGCAGGACCTGGAGTACAGGTGAGTGAGCGGTGCAGGGGAGAGGGTGACCTCCCACAGTGCACACGGGACAGCTGAGGAACCCAGCAGGACCTCTCCAGGGCACTGTTCCAGATGCCCGCAGCAGAGAAAAAAGAAAAGGGACATTGCACAGAGCTGGGGGGAGGGAGAAGGGAGAGAAGCGGTGAGGATGAATAGGGGTGAGGGGAATGTTCCTGAGCAGCAGCCCCTAAATGCCAAAATGGACCTGGTTCCTGGCTGAACATCAAGGGCACATCATACCACATCACTGTCCTGTGGCATCTGGAACAAAATCCAAACTCCTCCTGTGGCTTGTGGCTGCCCTGACCACATCTTGTGCTGCCTCAGCTTCTGGTTTCCGTAAGCATCCTTCTCCCCTCTAGCAGGCAGAGTTCCCTCCCCCTCCAGGTATGTGGCTCTGGAACATTCTTCCTTCACAGCTCCACATGAGTGTCACTTGCTCTTCGTCCTTTTGTGTCAGCTCACACCTGACCTCTACGAGGCCCTCCCAGACCACCTGGTCACCCTCCGCCTTCCACTTACTTACCCTCTATTTCTTTTTTTCTTTTTTTAATGTTTTTTATTTATTCCGAGGAGAGAGAGAGAGAGAGACAGCGTGAGCAGGGGAGGGGCAGAGAGAGAGGGAGTCACAGACTGAAACAGGCTCCAGGCTCTGAGCTGGCTGTCAGCACAGAGCCCGACGCGGGGCTCGAACCCACGAACCGCGAGATCATGACCTAAGCGAAAGTCGAACGCTTAACCGACTAAGCCACCCAGGCACCCCACTTTATTTCTTTTTCTCCCTTCATAGCCCGGGGTACCCTGTGAAATGCTCTTGTGTGGTCACTTCTTTATTTTCAGTCTTCCACAACAAAATTGCAAATCCATGGGAGCAGAGAAGCTTGCTTATTTGTCCTTTTGTACCCAGTACACAGTATTTGGTAGAGATGTGCTGAATGACTGATAACTTCACCTTAGTAGGTGCTATGGAAATCATCATGTTTCTCTTTTTACTCTTGCTACCAAGGAGCCCCAAGCCAAATATATAAGCTCAACCATAGCATCTTGGTTAATTCTTTCAGTTGGCATGGCTGAATGCTCCTGCTGTCATTGACCTCAATTTTCTACTTGGGTCTCAAGCTGTTAATACTTTTTTTTTTAATTATTATTACTTATCACATAGTAAGCTGCCTTTTTTTTTTTTTTTTTTTGTAAGCTGCCTTTAAAAGGCTTTTGGGGACCCAAGGCCAGGGGGCCAAGGGCAGAGTCAGCCCTACACAGTTCCCCTGGGCCCGGGAGCTTATCCCACCTCCCCTCAGCCTTACCCTGGCACATTCACATTCAATGTTGTGAATCCCACTTTGGCCCCTCTCTGTTCCGGTCTCTCCCTGCCAGAACCCATCACCATCTGTCCCTATTGCCCACCCTCGTCTTCCAGAGTCTGGCAGGCACGTCCTCCTGGCCCAGCTCCTGCTCTGTGGACTGTGACCGTGCATGTCCCGGCCCCAGGAAACCGGGGCAGCCAAGGACCGGGCTTGCTGCCAAGGCCTCGCACACCTCTCTCTCCCAGGAGTCAGGCTTTCACCTCTTCCTGGTAATATTTCATGAGCCGACGCTGTCACGGCTTCATCTAGAATTCTCACAGCTCTGGCCAGAGTTGGAGAAGAGGCTGGGTAGCAGCTGTGACCAGGAACTGGGAAGACTGACCAGACACCCGGCCCAGGGTCCCCCTGAGGGCTGCTGGACCTCCTGAGTGACCTTGAGCAGGTGTGGCCTCTTTCTGGGTGTAGGCTTTTCCACCTATAGAGGGGAGGGGCCTGGTGACCTGTGGCATGTGCCATGGCACTGAGTCCAAGACAAGCCGGGGGTCAGGGCTCTGGGCTCCCACACTGTTGACAGAGGACCCGTGTCATCCCTGACCATGCCCCCTACCAGGGCAGGCTGGCAGCCCCGGGTTCTGATGCACCTCCCCAGCCCAGCTTCCCCTCTAGGCAAGCTCCCCACACAGGGGCCTCGGAACCTCAAGCACTGATCAGAGCTCTGTGAGCTCCTCTGGAAAGAAGTCACAAGCAGACGGCCCACCAACCTGGTTTGGTCACCGGATAGGATTTGCAAATGTTGAAAGGAGTTACCGCATTAAGAAACCAGGGGCTGCCACTTAATCTGAACTTCTAACTTTTCTTTGAAAGCCAGTCCCTCTGGCCACGTGGGGCCCACAGTGGAGCTGAGGGGCAGCCACCCACTTGGGAAGGGGCAGGAGTGCCCCAGTTTGCCCCCATGTATTTCCACCACCACCACCACCACCTGCCAGGCCACTTGTTTATACTCCTTACTCAGACCCAGGGAGTTTCAAACTAGTTTTTAGCCCAAGAGTTTTCAACAAGTCTTTAGCAGTAGAAGTTCTTAAAAAGAATCTGAAACATCAGCCCAATGTAAAAATAGACCTAAGCGGGACAGCTCAGGTTGGATAGGACAAGGGGCTGGGGTCCCCTCACCCAGCATGTCAGCAAGGGTTTCTGAGGCCTGTTCATAAAACACAGATTGAAAGCCACTAATGTAGAAGCTCTGTGAAGGTTCAAATTCCACCAAATGGTCATCCCTGCTTTCATACCCCCAGAGACGGGGAGCTCACTACCCCACAAAGCAGCCTAGCTTCATCCCTGGGATCTGCCTTTTTATGACACCTCCGTCCTTCTCTTGGGGACCACAAACTCACATGATTCCTGCATGAGGGGCAGGAATGGAACCCCTCAGAGCTGTGCTTTGGCCACCCCTCCTGGTCAGCAGCCCCCCACCAGGCCCCAGACCCTGTACCTTCAGCTCGTTGAGATAGCGTCTTGTGTGCACCACCAGCAGGTCCTCTTCCGAAGCCTCCCGCGCTTCCACCAGCATGCCATCTGACAACAGCTTTTCTTCTGAAACCACAAAGTGGGCACCCTGCTTGCTTGAGGGCCTGACGGCAGGCCCGGCTCCAGACCAGCCCTCCTCACCAGCTGCAGCCTTAGCCTCTGCTAGGCCTGTCCCAGGATGAGGTGGGAAGCTGCTGGCTTCTGAAATCAGGTTGCCTCCCAGGCCAGGGGGGGCCACGGCCAGGGGGCAGTAGACACAGGGCACGCGGCAACCGTTGTGTTTCCCAAGCCACTGACAGCTCAGGTGTGCTGGACAGCTTTCCGAGGAGATGGCACATGCAAGGTTGACTCAAAATGAGAAAAGGCTTATCAATTCTCCCCCTCCACCTTCTGGTGATGTCATGAGAAGCCCAGCATGGTGCGACCTCTCTTTCAGGCCTGCCTAACCCTTGCTCATCTCCCGTCTTAACCCAAAAAGCAGCGGCCTCAGACTGCTGGCAACAGGGAGCCCCCTGAAGTAAATCACGGTTTCCCTGCATTTCCTTTTTTACCATGACCTTCTATTTATGGCCAGTGAAACTGGCTTTTCCCATTTAGATGATATAATATTTCCTTTTAAAACAAGTTTATTTAAGGTGTTGTTTTTTTTTTTTTAAGCAGAGGGTAAGTCAATAAAAAAATAGGAAGTAAATAACAGAGCAGGTGGTATAAGGAAATGGCCAGGTCCCAAGGGTTATTTGCAAATAACTGATGTTTGGGAAACACTGCAGTATTTTATCACCCCTCACATCCACCAGACAAGATCTGCTCTGTTTTGCAAAAGAAGAAACTGAAGCCAAGAGCAGGAAGTGCTCTAGGGCACAGGGAGAATAGGACCATGATGTTCTGGGTTCTAGGGAAATCAAAGGGACAAGGTCAGAACCCAAAGAAACTGTTTTAATGGGTAACCTTCAGAAACCAACTAATTGCATACATTTCCTGCATCTAGCTCCACATACAGAAGGCACTCTCCGTCCCCCCCCCCCCCCCCCCCCCCCCCCCCCCCCCCCCCCCCCCCCCCCCCCCCCCCCCCGCCTCCCAATGACATTCCATGGTTCCCCACTGCCTTCAGGCAAAGGGCCAGTCTTTTCTTGGCAGCACTCAAGGTCCTTTACCATGTGGTCCCTGCCTCCTTTCCACCCACATCCTCAGAGGAGGAAGGAGGGAATTCAGGAGGACTGTCCGCTCAGAGATGAGGGAGACAAGGATCCCTACGCTGAGCTACTGGGTAACACAGGATCCCAAGAAAGGGCAAGGGGGGAGTGACTCAAGCTGAATTTGCTGGGAACAGTGCATGCAGGACCGTAGTCAGGAAAGCAAGAGACCTGCTATATGGGCAGCAGGCGGATTCCACTTATTCTCACCGTCCTGGCACACCATGTGCACTTTTTTCTATTCAATCATTTTCTTTTAATACTCACTCTGGTTGCTATTGCAAATGGAAAATCCGAATCATAAAGAGAAGTTAACCCCAAAGAGAAAACATATATGCGATACAAACAGACTGTTATTAATCTGTAATTTGATTCTACTTTCTGCAACAATGTGGCTTGCTCTGGATTTGTTAAAAAGGGACATGGGTTTAGGTGTTAAAGACAGGTCAGCACCAAAGTAAAACTTTCATGGCATGATCTGGATTGTGTGACGGAAAGATCCACAATGCCTCGTTGTATGCCAGGTCACATTCCCTACTTCTGTTAACTGAAGAACCCCTAATACAGGGAAGATGGAGAATATTCTCACCCTAGCCTGCTGTGATGCCTGAATTTCCCACCTAAAGCAGACCCCTGGATTACAAACGGAAGTAGAAAGCACAGCCCAGGGCACCACCTTGCTCAGTGGAATGAGCTGTGAAAGGTGGGAGCCTGGAGCTCTGAGTTCCAGATCCCACTCTGCTAGTGGGTAGCTGTGTGACTTTGGGCATGTTTCCTAACCTTTCTGGGCTCTGATTTCCTCCATGTGTAATCAATAGGATTTGGAGCAAAGGCTCTCTACTTCTTGGACTCTCAGAGCTTATAGAGAACAGATACTGGATTCCTCTAAACTTCACCTTCCTGGTGTCCATCCCCTTCCTACTGGGTCTCCACGGACAGGGACAGGACTTAAGCCCACAGTGATGAGGAACAGTGAAGGTAGGAGACAGGGACATATCGTGCTCAGAAGTCTGTACTGAAAGACTCCACAGGAATGAGCGAAAGGCAGTGTGAGGGCTGAGACTGGAGGTAAGAGACTGTAGCTGGTGTCAGGGAAGACACAGGGAAGGGGTGGGAGAGGGGGGTGGGGTGGAAGAAGCAGATGCAGGGTCTGATAGGGCCTTCCATACCTTTCAGGAAGCTGATCACCTTGCCCCATTTTCCCGCATCAAAGGGGTGCAGTTTCTCCAGGCCCATGAAGGTTATGTTGTAGCGTGGTGAATACACGATGGGCCAGCGTGTCTCCGGTACATGCTGGTACAGCTGAGTTGTGTGTGGCCTTCCATGTGCATAGGGACAGACACAGAAACAGGGGCAGTCTCAGTGTGGAAAGCAGCCTCCTCCTTGGCTACACAGCCCTGAGCCGGCACCACCAGCTCCCCCAGCCGCAGGAAAAGGGCCACTTAGCAACAGCAACCACGGTCATGAGGGGAGCTCCTTACTGAGCATTGGCTCTTTCCCTGCACTATGCAACCCAAACCTCACCGGAGCCCCGGGAGCGGCGACCAGGTGTGCCCAAGGTCACACAGCCGTTTCGTGCAACACCTAATGTGCGCCCAGGTGTATCTGCCTGCCAGGCCTCAGCACCTCCCCTCCACATTATTACGATTACGCTAAACAGCTGTGTGCCCCTAGGCCTCAGTTTCCTTAACTAAAATATGTGGCTGTCGCGAGACAATGCATTGAAACAGCTGAGCACAGAAAGCGCCCTATCCCTGAGAGCTGGGGGTGGGGATGACAGTTCCCAGAAACAGCAGGTCGGGGTTCACGCAGGCCATGGCCCAGCCCGAAGCCAGGAATGGAGATCACCTGAGCCTAACCGCGCGGCTGACTCCCCCATTACACTCCCGCAGCGGCCGCACAGGGACCAGAAAGCCGGCTCCAGGGGCTGCCACTGCGAGGGCCTCCTCATAGCTGGTGGAGCCTGGGGGAGGGCAGACGTCAGACCCGCGCCTGTCGCCGGTTCCCACCCGGGTCGGAGCCCCGCGACCCGCACCGGTCCCTCGGACCGCAGAGAAGTGGCGCGAGGCCGGCCTGGGCGCCCCCTGACGGAGCGCCCCCTCGCCCGCCATATCTGGGCACGCACCTGGCGGGCCCGCCCGGTAGCCCGCGCACTCGTGCTCCCTCCCAGGAGGACCCCCGGGACCCCCGGGGTCTCGGATTGGAGTCCCACCCCACGCCCCCACGCGTGCCTCACTCACATCCCTGGGCCGGGCCCTCCCTGCGCTGGGCACTGCTCCGCGACCGGGGGGGGGGGGCGGGGCCCCGACACGCCCCGGACACGCCCCCGGCTTGGGCCGCCTCCGCTGGAGGCGGAGCTCCGGCGGGCTCGACTCCGCCCCGCTCGAGCCTGCGCCTGCGTCACAGAGCGATGGAGTCCCGCAGAGAACTCGCCAGCCGATAGAGGCCACGCCTCCAACGCCCATCAAGCGCCAAGTCCCGCTTTCCTCAGACAAATGCCCAGTAGAATCCCGCTTTGCTCGGAGAGTCACGCCCCCTAAGGGGCGGGCCGCGAGAGTTTTCACCAGGCTCGCCACAGAGGTTCTCAAAGCGCGGGTTCGTCCCGCCCCTGGGGGAGGGGCCATCCTATGCCCCTGCGTTCTCCCGAGTCTGGGAATTAGGGACGCCTGGTTTCCCGGCAGACTCTGCGGCAGGCGCGCCGTGTGACCTTGGGCCAGCCCGCGCGCTCTGGGGGCTCTGTTTCCACGCGTAAAATAAGATAGGGGGATGCTCTGGCCCTGCCATCTGGGACCTATTGGAATCCATGACCCCTCCGACTTGAGGCCACAGGCACGCCCTCCCCGCCCCATCTCTGGGGACTCCGAGGTGAGACAAGCACTCCCTACACGTCATTTGGGCTCTCTGAGCCTCAGTTTCCTCCTCAGTGCAGCGGGGCTGGTGATCCAGTCGTAAAGGGACAGTCGGGTATTCGTGCTCATTCCCCTGTCTCCCCGCTCCAAGCCAAGCCCCAGCGACAGCTGGGAATGTCTTGGGGCTGGACCTTGGGAAGAGGCTCCAACAATAGAGCCCCAGAGGCCAGAGACAATGGGCCTCTCTGTAGACCCAGCTGTCCCCGTCAGCCAAACAAGCAGCTGACCCGAGGGCTGCCAGGAACAGGGATCCCTGGTGGCTCCGTGAGGGCGCCCGTGGGCGTGACAGAGTGGGGCCCGTGAAGGGGAAGGGCCCAGACGTGTTAACAGTGCCCTCCGAGTGCCTATCACTTGAATGCACAATGGCATTGGATTCTCACAACGAAATCCTACGAGGGTGGGCTGTCATCACCCCAATATTTTCAGGAGGTGAGCTGAGGTCTCGATTAAACCTAGACTAGGCCATGTGTCAGCACCATGACCTTGGGCAAATTGCTTAGTCCTTCATTTCTGCATCTGAAAATGAGGAGATGCCTTCCCACCTTCCTCATGGGGAAGTTGAGATCATCAAAAGAGATCGTAATACTGATTATTATTTAAACAGCACCTAGTGTGTGTTCGGTTCAATCAGAAGACCTATTTGCTCACTTATCCTTGTAACAACCCTAGGAAGTGAACTATGGTTATCTCCGTTTTACAGATGAAGAAACTGAGGCACAGGATGGTGAAATAACTCTCGCAAAGGTCAGGGATGTAGACAGATGTAAACAATAGCCACAGAAGGAAAAAAAGTAATATTTAATAACAAGAGGCAAGAAAGTGTGTGCAGTGACCCTGTTTCATTGTGAGAAGTTCATCTCTGGGAATCTGTGCTGGTTTGGAAAGCCACACAGATAAATAAGCCTATTGTTGGGAGAACAAGGGTCTGGGGCAGGCTGGACCTGGAAAGCCAAGAACAAGGAGAGTAGGGTTGCTCTCCGTAAGAGGGTTTTTTAATTTGTCCCCTGTGTGATTGAAGAGAGAGGTGGTCTGAGGAGCCCTGGGGACTTGGGAACACCTTCAAACCACCACGCCAACCTGTACCACTGACCCGCACTATCACCTGTAGGAGAAATAAACTATGTTATTATTAAATAAACTATGTTATTATTAAGTAAACCTTGTGAGTATCTGGGAGCCTCTTTGTTACAGTATCCTAACATGTATGCTCACTGGAACCCAGCTGTGAACCCCACAGGCAAGATCTGAGACGATCTTCCCTTCCCCCCTTTGTGAAGCTCAGTTTGGTGGGAGATACAATTTTTAAACAAGGAGACCATCAAATTGCAAAATATAAGGGCTGTGAAAAACATGAGCAGGAGTGGCAGAGAGGATGGTGCCCCTCTGATTTAGGAGATGGTCATGAAGCCACCTTTGAAGAGATGGTTATTTTTCACTTTTTAATCATGTCTATCTTATTTTATTTTATTTTTTATTTTATTTTATTTATGTTTTTAAATTGTCATCCCAGTTAGTTAGCATAGAGTTTGTTCTCCACATTTCAGAGTCTCTTATCTTTTGTCCCCCTCCCTGTTTTTATATTATCTTTACTTCCATTCCCTTATAGTCATCTGTTTTGTATCTTAAGGTCCTCGTATGATTGAAATCGTATTATATTTGTCTTTCTCTGACTGACTCATTTCGCTTAGCATCTAGTTCCTTCCACATAGTTGCACTGGCAAGATTTCATTCTTTTTGATTGCTGAGTAATATGACACATCTTTACCCTTTCATCCATCGATGGACATTTGAGCTCTTTCCATACTTTGGCTGTTGTCGATAGCGCTGCTATAAACATTGTGGTGCATGTGCCCCTTCGAAACTGCATACCAGTATCCCTTGGATAAACATGTAGTAGTGCAATTGCTGGGTCCTAGGGTAGTTCTATTTTTCATTTTTTGAGGAACCTCCCTACCATTTTCCAGAGTGGCTGCCCCAGTTTGCATTACCATCAGCAGTACAAAAGAGAGCCTCGTTCTCTGCCAACATCTGTTGTTGCCTGAGTCCTTAATGTTAGCCACTCGGACAGGTGTGAGGTGGTATCTCCTTGTGGTTTTGATTTGTATTTCCCTGATGATGAGTGATGTTGAGCATTTTTTCATGTGTCGGTTGGCCATCTGGGTGTCTTCTTTGGAGAAGTATCTATTCATGTCTTTTGCCCATTTCTTCACTGGATTCTTTGTTTTTTGGGTGTTGAGTTTGATACATTCTTTATAGATTTTGGATACTAGCCCTTTATCTGATATGTCGTCTGCAAATATCTATTCCCATTCCATTGGTTGCCTTTTAGTTTTGCTGATTGTTTCCTTCACTGTGCAGAAGCTCTTTATTTTGATCAGGTCCCAATAGTTCATCTTTGCTTTGGTTTCCCTTGCCTCCAGAGACGTGTTGAGTAAAAAGTTGTTGTGGTCAAGGTCAAAGAGGTTTTTGCCTGTTTTCTCCTCCAAGATTTTGATGGTTTCCTATCGTATATTTAGATCTTCCATCCATTTTGAGTTTGGTTTTGTGTAGGGTGTAAGAGAGTGGTCCAGGTTCATTTTTCTGCATGTCGGTGTCCAGTTTTCTCAGCACCACTTGCTGAAGAGACTGTCTTGAGTCCATTGGATAGTCTTTCCTGCTTTGTCCAAGATTAGTTGGACATACATTTGTGGGTCCACTTCTGGGTTCTCTGTGCTGTGCCATTGATCTGTCTGTTCTTCTGCCAGTACCATACCGCCTTGATGAATACAGCTTGAAGTCTGGGATTGGGAAGCCTTCTGCTTTGGTGTTCTTTTTCAAGATGGCTTCAGCCTTTCAGGGTCTTTTCTGGTTCCATACACATTTTAGGATTGTTTGTTCTAGCTCTATGAAGAATGCTGGTGTTATTTTGATGGGAATTGTTTGAATATGTAGATTGCTTTGGTTAGTATTGACATTTAACACCATTTGTTCTTGTATCCAGGAGCATGGAATATTGGTCCATTTTTTTGTGTGTGTGTGCCTTCAGTTTCTTTCATGAGCTTTCTATGGTTTTCAGTGTATAGATTTGATTAGATTCATTCCTATGTATTTTATGAGTTTTGGTGCAACTGTAAATGGAATCAATTCCTTGATTTCTCTTTCTTGCTTCATTGTTGGTGTATAAGTGTGCAGCTGATTTCTGTGCACTGATATTATACCTTGCGACTTCACTGAATTCATGGATCAGTTCTAGCAGGTTTTTGGTGGAATCTTTTGGGTTTTCCATAGACAGTATCATGTCATCTGCAAAGAGGGAAAGTTTGACCTCCTCCTGGTTGATTTGAATGCCTTTTATTTGTGCTGTCTGATTGCTGAGGCTAAGGCTTCTAATATTATGTTGAAGAGCAGTGGTGAGAGTGGACATCCCTGTCTTGTTCCTGACGTTAGGGGGAAGCTTTTAGTTTTTTGCCATGAGGGTGATATTACTGTTGGGTGTTTCATATATGGCTCTTAGGGTCTCAAAGTATGACCCTTCTATCCCTGCTTTCTTGAGGGTTTTTATCAAGAAATGATAGTGTATTTTGTCAAATGCTTTCTCTGCTTCTATTGAGAGGATCATGTAGTTCTTGTTCTTTTTTTTATGGATGTGATGTATCACATTGTTTTTCAGATATTGAAGCAGCCCTGCATCCCAGGTATAAATCCCACTTGCTCATGGTCAATAAATTTTTTAATGTCTTGTTGGATCCAGTTGGCTAATACCTTGTTGAGGATTTTTGCATCTATGTTCAAGGAAATTCGTCTATAGTTCTCCTTTGTAGTGAGGTCTTTGTCTGGCTTTAGGATCAAGGTAATAATGCCTCATAGAAAGAGTTTGGAAGGTTTCCTTCCATTTCTATTTTCTGGAACAGCTTTAGAAGAACAGGTGTTAACTCTTCCTGAAATGTTTTGTAGAACTCCCCTGGAAAGCCATCTGGCCCTGGACTCTTGTTTTTAGGGAGCATTTTGATTACTCATTGGATTTCTTTACTGGTTATGGGTCTGTTCAAATTCTCTATTTCTTCCTCTTTCAGTTTTGGTAATTTATGTTTCTAGGAATGTGTCCATTTCATCCAGATTGCCCCTTTTATTGGCGTATACTTGCTCATAATATTCTTTTATTTTGTTTTTCTTTCTGCTGTGTTGGTTGTGATCTCTGCTTTTTCATTCTTGATTTTATTTATCTGGGTCCTTTCCTTCCTCTTTTTGATCCAACGGGATAGTGGTTTATCAATTTTGTTCATCCTTTTGTTCACCTTTTGTTTTCATCGATCTATTCTACTGTTTTTTGGTTTCCATAGCATTGATTTCTGCTTTCCTCTTTATTATTTCCTGTCTTCTGATGGTTTGGGGTTTTCTTTGCTGTTCTTTTTATAGCTCTTTAAGGTGGGAGGTTAGGTTGTGTATCTGAGACCTTTCTAC